GGGCCGCCGCCTCCCGGGAGAGAGGCTCGTAGGGGGTCGAGAAAGGGGAGGTTTTGTTGTGGGGCAAGCCCCCTCCCCTCAGGAGCTGACCTTTCGCCCACAGTTGCCTGACTCCTCAGAGAGGATTTGAAACCGGTTCTTTTCTCCTCTCTCGGTACCCACGACGGCAGCCTGGGAAAGTAACTGGGCCCCCGTCCCAGGGGTCCCAGGCCCAAGCCCGGGACTGGCGGCGGCCAGACCGGGGCTGGCACGGTGGCCTGGCGGCCAAGAGGCTCAGCCCCTTCCCCTCGCCTCCCTCCCGGCCAGGTGTGGTTCCCGAGCAGGTGAGCTCCGAGGGAACCCCAAATCCTGCGGCTTCCTTTAAAGCTCCCTTCTAATTAGAAGACAGCGGTGAAATCATTTCAGTGATTTTATCTGTCATGGGAAAGCAAACCCCAGCCCAAACCTCGGTGGCCCAGTCCAGAACCACCAGCGCCCCCGCCGTCGCTCTAAAAAGTTTTAGTGGGAAGAAAAAAAAAAAAGAGCCGTGAAGCCAACGAGGAGTGGGGGGAGGGGCGGGGACCCGTGAGAGTGAGGGGCCAGGGTGGACTTAAAATAGAAGCGTCAGTGTCTGAGTGCGCAAATGCGTGTGTGCGTGTGTGCATGTGTGTGTGCGCGCGCGTGTTTGACTGTCTGCAGTGGGAGGAGATTAAACCTGAAAGCCAGAAATGAAACAGAACCGTGAACGTCTTCACCTACTGAGAAACACTTTGATCTGAGATCCGACACTGAAGCCGCCCTGGGGGTTGCGGACCCGCATCCGCCAGGTTGAACCTCGCGGGCCGGTGGGGAGGCCGGAACCGGGATCAGGCCGCACCGCGCGGCACCTCAGCGGCTGGCCCAGGCACCGGGTCTTGCCCTCCCCGCCCCCACGCAGGGGTGGAGAGTCTCCCAGCGCCCCCCCCCCCAAAGTTACCAAGGGAAAGAGAGCCCGGGGGCGAGCGTGCAGATGCCCCCATTGCGTGAGTGGGAAAACACACCGGGTCACTCTCGCGTCGCTCCCAGCACTCTCCAGCAGGCAGTTTGCCTCGGTTCTCCGGCCAGGGACTGACCGGGAAAGCGGGTTGGGGCTGTTGGGAAAAGCTGGAGCCGATGGCGAGATTGCCGCGGCTATAAATCCATCACTTCCCAGGTCAGCTCTGCGAGGAGCTGGGACTAAAGGGCTGGCGGAGTGAATTCCTGGGCTAGCGCGCATGCGTCGGCAGGTAGCAACCCAGCTCTTTATGACCAGGTGAGATGTTGGTGAGCAGGTAAAAAAAGGAGGATTTGCCTAAGCGATTCCAGGGAGCGGGCCCGGCCGAGCCCTACAGCCCATGCCCGGCGGGGACCCGTCGCCAGGAGCGCCGAGCCGCGATGTCCATACTTGCCAAAATGGGGGACTGGCAGGTACGGGGGTTTGCTTTGGCTGGGGCTGAGGTGGGCGGGGGTGGAGCNTTCTTTTTTTTTTTTTTTTTTTTTTCACCGCTTGGGCTCCGGGCGGGGGTGACTGGCGGGGGGCGATAAGTGCCGAGGGATGCGGCAGAAGGCCTAGATTTGGTCGAAACCAACGCCTCCCAACGTTGGCCCGACTAGGCCGCAGGCACCGCGAGGCCAAGTAGACTCCAGATACTTCGCTCCTTGAGCCCAGGGCCCGACCTCAGCCAAGGGAGCCTTAGATTCTGCGTCCTCCTCCTACCTTCCAGACGTTTCCCTACGAAACCAGAGAGGCTCTGGCCAGGCTGGTGGGAAGGGCAGCCTCTCCCCTGTAGCCGATTTCATAATGGGAACCGCGGGGCCCTCTTTTCGCCCTAGCCAAGGGAAGGCCTCTTGGGGCGAGATTCTGAGTGCCGAAAAGCCTGCGGGTCCAATGAAATGGAAGGCCCCAAACTTATTAAAGAAAAGCCGAGGCCCTGCTCCTTCCGGGGCGAGGTCTTTTGCTTGTTTCAGGTTCTGGCCATTAGAAGCAAAGTTCAGAGAAGTCCCATCTTCATTTCGCTCTCTCGAGTCGGGAAAAGGAAGTCAACACGATGTCTTTCTTTCTTTCCTTGTAGTTATTTTTTATTGGCTGGGAGGTCTTTGAAGCCTCTCCTTCCCAGTTAGACCTAAACAAGTGCAACTTCATTTCCAGAGTTAGACTTCGTGGTTTAAAGGTGCAAATTCCACTCCGAACTCAGATCTTGAGCACCCACCATCTCCCTCTCTTGCCCTGTGGTTCTTAGGGACCTTCTTCATTCTCCTAGGGAGGGTGAAGACTGGGGGGCTCCTTGAAAGCCGAGGTCTTTTGGTTTTCTCCTCAAGCCAGATGAACTTTGCCGCAGAAATCCTCGGGGAGAGAAAAGACCAGGAGTGCAGGCTTGGCCAGGGACTGGGCCTCCCGTGAGCCCCTCTGCGTGGGGCTGAAGGAGACAGGAGTGAACCCTGGGCCTGCCTCCTGGTGGGCTCAGTTTAACAAGCAGTGGGAAACTGGGATCTCGGGTGAGGCAGGCGGATTTGGGGTTCGTAGGGGCTGGGTCCTCCAGGTTGGGCCTGCTGGACTCCTGGGGCCCACTTGGTGGTGACCACCACCACCGGTGAAAATGGCAGCATCCCGTCTCTCTGGGTGTCTGTCTCTCTCAGGTGTCTCTGTCCCTCACACAGATAACTCACTCTTCTCCCAACACCCTTTACACGCCCCCAGGCCAGGCCTGGACACCCCCAACCCCTGCCGCCGGGCCTGGCGCTGCAGTCCTGGGGTCCCGGGCAGGCCGGAGCATTGACATGCAATGAAGAGGCTTGTGGTGGAAATGACGCTCAAGCCGGCGCGGCCCCGCTGGCTCCGGGGGCGACGGGGCGCTCGCCCGGGCCTTTCTTCGGCCCTCGGCGCCGCACAGCCCTCGGGCCCCAATCTGCACCTCAAAGGCGCCCTCGGCGGGAAAACAAAAACAGTTTAGCAGCCCCGGCGGGTGCGGAGCCAGAGATCCGCGGGGCTCGGGTCAGCGAAGGGGGAAGGCGGATAAGACGAAGGCCTTTACATGCCTTCCTTAGCCCACAGGGAGAAAGAAAGCGAAACTTGAAGAGTTCCCCCAAGCGCACTGGGGGCGAGGGCGACGCGAGGGTGTACGCTGCCCTGCTCCCAGCTCAGAGCGCGGCCTACCGAGCGCTCCCCGGGGCTGTGGCGGCGGCTGGGAGGGTGTCGGTGCTCCAGGCCGCCCCCCTCCCGACGTCCAGCCGCTGCTGCCGGGCGGAGGCCCTGGGGGCAGCCCGCAGGGTGCGTGGCACTAGGCTGGAAGTTGACCATTTTTGAGGGCGGAGTACCGCTGAGTCTCTAGCTGGGTTCAGCCAAGAGGCTGTGCAGGTGTGCAGGTGGGAAAAGGGAGGGCCCGGGGCCTCGGGAGGGAGCCCCCGCTCCCCCCGTCCTCGGCTCCGAAGCCCCTTCTAGCTCTGGCCTCCTTCCTAACTTTATTTTGTTGTTGGTGTGGTTGGGGGGACGGTGGTGGTTGGGGCCTACTCCGCCAGCCTTGGGGAATTGGCGGCGGTCTTTGGAGGGAGACATGCCCTTGGGCAGCTTAGGGAGGAGGGGGTCCCCCTCCTCTAGCCTTCCTTCCACCTGTTAAGCAACGCTCCTATTTGCCACAGCCTCTTACCCTCCCTCAGGCCCCTGTGTGGAGGCGGGGAGCCTAGACTGGCGGACCCGGGGGGGGGGAGTGGTTTGCAGGATTGCAGAGGGAGAGGAAGGTTTTTTACGGAGGACAAACGAGGACGCTCACCCGGGGAAATTGATCACTCTGTGTTCTAAGGATTACATCACGTCTTTTTGGGTCTGTCTTTAAAAAAAAAAATTTTTTTTTTTTCTGTTTCACAATAGGAAAAAAGAAAAAAAAACCCCAAAACCCGGGTGGGGCGCGCAGGCCCCTGTGTGGAGGCGGGGAGCCTAGACTGGCGGACCCGGACTAGGGGATGGCTCCCCGGCCTCCGGGTTCCGCGCCAGCCGGGCACTGCGCCGCGAGCGCGCCCGCGTTAGTAACAGCACCAAATCATGAAGGAACGCTCCCTGCTTTAATTAAAAAGGGGAATCTTGGGAAAACTGGATTAGATTAGCACAGCAAAGGGTTGGTTCCCAGCGATTTATTTTGATGCATGCATGACACGGTGCACACATGTCGGTATTTCGGCTTAACTCCAGAAGCGTGTGTGAGCCTCCGTAGGAGTTCCGTATTACTGTCCACATCGCACCTAGGAAGCCCTTAGCCCAAATACCACGTTGAATTATCCGTCGGTCCTAGCTTCGTACAAATCAGAGGGAAAGCATTTAACCCCTGGAGCTGTCAAGCAACCTCTTCAGGGTACACCTTTTATTTTACACGCGGCAATTAAAGGATGGCAAACCCCAGCCGAGCGACTGAAGCCGTTTGGCAAAAATCTCCAACCTGGGGGTGGGGGGATGGGGGGGTGGTGAAGCGCGAAGCCAATAAAACTCCCGGGGCCCTGCGGCAGGAGGTGTCGGCTGCCGGCAGCGGAGGCGATCTCTGGCTGGGCAAAAAATCCTGGAGTGATGTCGCCGGTCTTGAGTTGATGGTTATATTTAATTGAGAAAAGGGATAATTTCTGCAATTGGACAGGGCCCGAAAGGACGGAACCGCTGGTGGAGGCAGGGATGGGGGAGAGGTGCTGGGAGAGCTGGGTCCCGGGAGCGGCCGCTCGGACTGTGAGCAGGGCAGGGACGAGGAGAAGAGGAGAGAGAAGACGACTCGGGCGACACGGGGCCAGGGGCGCCGGCTCAGCGGCGCGCTGCGGGGCTCAGGGGAGACTCCGTGGGCTCCCGGGCGGGCGTGCGCTCTAGGAGCGAGTTCGCGGCTCGCAGAGGCCTTTATACCTGGGTCGGAGCGGCCGGCGGCAGATCGTGGTGCTGGCGAGCAATTGGACTATTGTTGATATGCTAATGAGGCGATTAGGCTGTTGGTAAAGAGCAGGAAAAGGGAAAAGTTTCTACCATTAGAGGGAGATCTCCGAGCGCACACGGGAGCTCCTTCCCTCCTCGCCTCCTCCTCCTCACCCTCCTCCTCCTCACCCTCCTCCTCTTCGCCCTCCCCCTCCTCCTGCTCGCCGCCCGCAGCCGGCACTTTGCGCTTACCCGGAGAGTAGCTCCACTTGGGTGCGAGGCGGAGAGGGGCCAAATCCATTCACGCCGATCCATGAAAATGCTTTGGAAACTGACGGACAACATCAAGTACGAGGACTGCGAGGTAAGCGCGGCGCGGGCGCAGTCTCTCCCGCGGTTACAGGCTCGGAGCTCCGCTTCCCTCCTCTCCTCGCCGCCAGCTGCGAGAGGCGGGTGGGACAAACTTTGCCCGGCGCTGCGCCCGCCTCTCCGATTTGCCGTAAGAGCGCAGGGGAGAAGCCGGCGAGGAAGGCTGAGGACGTTCCCTTCTTTCACTCTCCTCCTTCGCAGCCCCCTGTCCCACTCCCCCCGCCCCGCCCCGATTTTCTCCGGACCAGTTTTGAGTGTGGCTAAAGATAGACGAGCGTGGGTTTTTGAAGTGGTTACTGGCAACTGGGCAGGCGTCTGTGAACTCCGCTTGTCTCTCCAACGAGCTTCTAAGGGCCCAGGTCACCAGAGTGAGAAAGGGAAAACCCCTTTCCTTCTTTAATTCTTTGTCTTTGATCTCTAACATTTTCCTTTATTTCTTCATTCTTTCCTTCCTTTCTATCACTCCTCCACTCAGCCCGCTCTAAAAAGGCCCCCTCCCGTTTGGAGAAGGGGCCCGCAGCCTGCGCTCTGAACGGGGGCGCACCTCCCCGTGAGCGGGTTCAGTTTGGGAGCACTCCTCCACCGAACGGCTGCGGGGCTTCCTCCAGTACCCTGCGTTATTCGAGAAGTTCTAAGCAGCTTCTCGCTCTGTGCTACTGGGTCGGCGCATCCCTGGGGGTGGAGGCGGGAGCCTGCTGGCCGCCGCGCCCTCGGCTGCGTGACCGTGGGAATCCCGGCGGGGCTGCCCACAGCCTCCGGTGCGCGGAGCCCGCCCGGCCGATAGAGCGCGCCGCCTTGGAACCGGTTTCAAAACCCACAGTCCCGGGAGCTCGGCTTCATGGGGCAGCCGGGGAAGCCCTGGGACCACTGGCCTGGAGGCAGCTGCCCCAGCCTTCTTCTAGCCCCCCGCTAGAAAGAGCCGATGAATCACGGGAGGGAGAGCTGGGGAGGGGGACGCCGTCAGAGACTACCTACGTAAATAGTAGGTGGCAGTCCCGGCTTTGGCTCCCCCCACCCCCTTTGGCATTTGGATCTGGGAATGTGGAGCGTAGAGGTCTGTGCCGGGCGCGGCGGGGGTCTTCACGTGAAATGAGAACCTGGGCTTGGGTGAACGAAGTGTCCCCCGTCCCCTTCTCCTCTCCTTTCCATGGACTATTTTAGTTCTTTTTCCTTTCCCAGCCCCTCCTGTTTCGCCCTTCCTTCCCCCTGTGAATGGGGCACGGAGTGACATGCCAAGGGGTCGGGTGCTTAGCTGGGCACTCGTGGCGTGGCTGGCGCGGGGCGCAGAGACTGACTCCATGTCAGACCAGTTGCTTTGTTTTCAGGGCCGGGGGTCCCTTTGCGGACCGGTCGGGGTGACAGAGGGCTCCTAAACCTCCCTGGACCGTGGCCCGGGGCTCGGGCATCCCCTTCTCGAAGGCCGAAAGCCCCGGCGGGCGGGGTCCGAAGCGGTGCGAGGCGCCCGGGGGACCTAGGTGGGAAGCGATGAACTTGCACCCCCAGAGTGGTGACCCTGTGGGGGCGCGTCGTGTGCATGTGCGTGTGAGTGAGAGCAAAGGAGGGGGAAAAAAAAGACTAGAAGCGAGAGTAGAGAGAGGAGGAGAAAACAGAGTGAAGGCTGTTTCAACAACTTTGCGGTGGCGAGCGCCGGAGCAGGGATTTCGGGTTTCCGAGCCGGCTCGGGGCTGTCTAATTATGCCGGGCTCTGCAGGGACATGCAGGAGGCGAGGTGCCGCTTGTTCTGACACCCCGGCGGGCAGACTGGCAGCGGCGGTCGGGGGAGAGCGAACCGTGTCATCCGGGGGTGCGTCGGGCGGGAGTGGCCCAGCCAGTCGGACGGGTTTGCGCCGGGAGCGGGGAGCCCGTGCCAGCGGCGCCCGGGCTGGGCCGCCTCGCGTCTCTGCGCGCCCCAGGCCGCGGCCTGGTGCCCTCCCCCACGCCCCTCCTTCGCGAGCCCGGGCCCCGGAGAGCCAAGGGCGGGGCGGCCAGCGGCACAGAGCGGCCGGTCCCCGGAGGCCGCGGGAAGCAAGAGAGCGGCGGCCCAGGCGAGAGCCGGTCCCGGGCGGGGCGCCGGGCCATGGAGAAGCCGCGCGGCGGAGGGCGGCCGGACCACCCTCCCCTCTCCCCACTCCGGGCTCCTCTCTCGCGCCCACACTTTCTTTCTCACACACGCACGCAAGACACACTCTTCCCCCTCTCCGCGCGCTCGCGCTCGGTCTCCCCGTCTCCCTCTTTCTCTTTCGCTTTGGCCTGCCCTGCAACCTTTTAAAATGTTGCCCCTTCCCTGTGATTCGCCAGCCGCCGCGCCGCGGCCCCCCGCGCGCTCGCCCGCTCCCTCTCTCGCCCGCTTTTTGTCTCTCGCGCTGCCTCTCCCCACCTCCGATTTGCTACACTGAGGCTCCCGTCAATGGACTGCATTGAGAGCCGGCTCCGGCGCGAGTTGCCTCTCCGCTTCACGCTCGATTTCCAGGCATTCTTCCCTTATTAAGTATTCGTGTAATATTAATAGTCATGAATATCTGCTATTAGGAGGCTCCAGGAACGCTGCCCAGCGCGGTTATTAGAAGCTCAAGCGAAGCCGCGGCTCAGAAAAGAGGGGGAGACACGGATTAAGGAACACGCGCGCACACACACAGACACAGACAGACACACACACTTCTTTTTTGCTTTTTTGCCTTTTCGGTTTTTTTTTTTTTCCAATTTTTAAAGGAACTTTGAATCCTACCCGATCGCGGCAGGATAGAGACCGTGGGTTCGACCAGCTGAAGGCGCCGCTCGAATCGGTGGTTCAAGTTCGGATGGACCAGAGCGGGGCTCCGGCGCCCGGGGGAGCGGCGGCGCGGTGACCGGAGTCCTGGGTGGCGCGGGGCGCCTTTTGTGTGGGGCGCGCTCGGGCGGCGGGGCAGCCGGGCTCTCCGCTTGCTTGTCGTTTTTCACCCTGACTCGTTACCCCAGACTCTTCGCAGATGTTAGTTCACAGTTTTTCAGCTATGGTGAGTCCCATCCCCACCCCCACCCCTGCCTCCTTAGGAATCGCTAGTCTGGAAACCTGGGGCTGCGGAGCGGCCCGAGACCTCGGGATCCTCGCCCGGTTTTCCTTCAGGGCGCCCGCCTTTCCTCGTTTGCATTTCGCGCCCCCCCTCCGCGTTTCTCTCCCTCTCTTCCATCCTTCAGTCGCACGCGGTCACCCCCCACCCCCCCACCCCCGCGCAACCTCTCCCGGCTCGCGCGCCTACCTCGCCGCTACTTCCCCAGCGTGTTTTCTCTCCGCGTTCATCTGTATTTCCTCGCCTCTTCACTTGTTCCCGAGACGTTCTCAACATCTGATGCTTAATCCGGATGCAGGAAAAACGCTGCCCGCGTGCCCCTTCTTCCCCCCGGGGCCCGGGGCTGAACCTCCGAGGGTTCGCATTCCCTGGAATCAACTCCGTTCGCTTGTTTTGCAAACGAATTGCAATAGAGGAACAGAAGTCAGGCGTTTCTTCTGCCCTTTGGGGCTGGGGTGGAAGGGGCTGGGGCCTCCGCTCCGGGGCGCACCTCTCTTTTAACCCAACATAAGGCTGAATCTTTGCATTTTAAACCTTGGCTTGACGTCCCCTTCTTCCCCGTCGCTTTCATAAATCGACTCTGTCCAGAAAAAGGCTTCTAAGTGAGGAAGCGGAAAAGACAGCCCCCTATCCCGCAGTTAAAAACCTTTGAGCTGGTAATTTAAACGATAGCTTTCCTTACAGCCCCTCTACGAAATATGTTTCTATTTAAATAGTCATGAAATGGTAATAGTCTTTGAATGGGCATGATTTTTCCCCCCTCCAAATAAATGGAACAGGGTAAACAATAACGCCGTGGCAGGCAGGTTCAAACCCAGGGACAGAGAAAAGGCCGCTTCTGGCTGTTTAATATTTACTAGGAATTTTAATTTTGCTTAAGGGAGGTTTCCCTCTGCTGCTGAGCGGGCTGTAGTCCGGGAGGCCCTTTTCTGCCTTTTCCCCCCTTTTGCAAGAAATGCCTAAGGAGAGTCTCTTATGCCCCCTCGATTGGCACTGGCGAAAATTCCCTGCGATTGGGGAAGGAAGGGCCCGTTTCGCTTTTGGAGAATTTTCTAACAAAGCCGCGCGGAGGGCTGGTTCCTCCCAGAGGCCTGAGGACGGGGCCGGGCGGTTTCGCATGCAGCCTGGCGGAGTGGCCCGACGCCTGATGCCGACTTCTCTCCCCTTGGCCTCGCTCTCTTCCAGGACCGTCACGACGGCGCCAGCAACGGGACGGCACGGTTGCCCCAGCTGGGCACTGTAGGTCAATCTCCCTACACGAGCGCCCCGCCGCTGTCCCATACCCCCAATGCCGACTTCCAGCCCCCCTACTTCCCCCCGCCCTACCAGCCTATCTACCCCCAGTCGCAAGATCCTTACTCCCACGTCAACGACCCCTACAGCCTGAACCCCCTGCACGCCCAGCCGCAGCCGCAGCACCCGGGCTGGCCGGGTCAGAGGCAGAGCCAGGAGTCTGGGCTCCTGCACACGCACCGGGGGCTGCCCCACCAGCTGTCGGGCCTGGATCCTCGAAGGGACTACCGGCGGCACGAGGACCTCCTGCACGGCCCCCACGGGCTTGGCTCCGGACTCGGAGACCTCCCGATCCACTCCTTACCTCACGCCATCGAGGACGTGCCGGTAAGAGGCCAAGCGCGCGCGCGGGCGGCGGGAGAGCAAACGCGGTCCCCGCTCACCCACGCCCAGGAAAGGGTACCCCCCTGGGACGTCCAGCCCCGGGGACTGGGCTTTCCTCCTCCCCGCTGTTTACTTTCTCCAAATCTGCGTTTCTTTTATCGGGTGGACCCTTTGAGGAGCCACCTAGACAACCGCACGCCAAAGATTCAAAAGTAGTTGCGAGTTCGGCCGGGAGAACAATGGTCCGCAGAGCTCCTTCAAACAATGCCTGCGTTACCGTTTATAAATCAGACGAGTGTCACCGTGGACGCTACCTTCCCCTCTCGGCGACAGTCAACTGTTTCGATTATGAGAGGATCTGATTCCACCGCTATGTCTGACGTGGGGGTTTCTCCCAGTCCTAAAAGACGTGTTAGAGTGGATCAAAAGAGCTCATTTAAATGCCCTGGCGATTTAAAAGAAAGTGTAAAAGACACGAAGAAAATTATTTTGGCCGGATTTTATGAGTGCTAGGGGGTCTCTGAAAGTTACGTGTATACCCTGCCCTGATTAAAGAATACTAAGTAGCAAATCCGAACAGGAGGACATTAAATGCAGCCTTTTTTCTCTTCCTAGGGGTGCTAAGTGCTGACCTCATAAATCATTAGCTGGGTTCCCAACGCCCATCAGGACCTGCTACACCCCCATATTACTTTAATGTTTTGAGACTATTGGGCAATGCATTCTTTGAGTTGTAACTCAGTTATCAATAAATGCAGTTTTCGATGATTTCTAAATAAGCATGGTATTAGCACATTTACTCTTTGGCAATGCAAGCCAGGCTATTGATAATTTGAAAATACTTTCTGACATTAAATTTAAACCAGCATCTCTGTTTCAATTCTACATATTTATGGCTTCCTCACAACCTTCCTGAAATGGAATTAGAACAAGCCAATAATTTTATTAAAGCTGTAAAGGCTCTGTTAATGCTGCTTTTCTTTGGAGAGGAAATGTATCTGGATGTGATTTTTGCTAAAATGCTATTTCAAATTACTGCATCAAATATTGCAGCAATATGTCCGTTGACAGTTTAATGATTACTGCATTAGATTGCAAAGAAAATGGTCAGATGAACTTACCTGCTTGCTTGGTGAATTTAAAACATTATTTAAGTTACATAGGGAAATAGAAAATTTATTACATCTCTCATTTGGCCTAGTTAATCACCGAAATTTGTTGGTTATGTTTAGCAGCCTAGCATGGAAAGCAGGAAAGTAGGCATTTGATCCAATGTGGGGTTTAGTAAGCCTTGTGTGCGTGCATATGTGTGTGTTTTCATACATGTTTTTAGAAACATATTACACAGTGCATTTCTTGGAAAGTAAAATGAGAGGAGGAATAGTTGGGCCATTAAAAAACAAACTTGGAAGTTGTGACCCTTTGAGTTCCCCTTCCCGAAGAGTCTCTCAGTCCTGATGCTAGTCTGCTCCTTGGAAATATTTAAATTGCAAAATAAGTTGCAAGCTTTTTAAACTTACTGTGAATTAGAATTGCTCTACTTTGCAAAAAATTCCAAAGTGGCTGGTGTGAATTCTTAACACCTGTATAGTCACTCTTGGTGTGAAATTGGCCTATAGGAGAAATTAACCAAAAGATCAAATAAAAACAACGAAACCCAGTTGCTGCTCTTCCCCTTCCCTCCCCCAACCTTTTAAGAAAAAATTCTTTCAAAGGAATTTGGGTCAGGAAAAGGGTTGTTTTCAATTTTCCCACTGCTGCAACAGTTAACCTTTAATGAGAACGACCGCCAAATATTTAAGAAAATCAAATCGATGGTGAAAATTATTTAATCATTAATATCTCAGTGGGATTTTAAACTTAACAGTCTTCCCTGTATGGACAAGGTCTAGAAATAACACAAATAAAAGTATTATGCCACACTACATTTACTTTATGGGTTTAGGGTGCATGCATAAAGGGATCATATTTCCCCATATAGTTAAAACACAAGAACTGCAGCAGTAGTCATTTCTGAACATTTCTCAATTTAATTATACTTAAATCCAGAAGCACTTTAGGCAAGTTACAAATGAGAGCATTGAGTATAATAAAACCTGTAATAAAGCAACTTAGTACCATCCACCCGGAATCATTGCGATCAGGCACAATTAACAGGAGCATAAATCCAAGACAGAATGGAAAATGTTCGAATCAGTATTATTGTTGGACAAAGACTAGAGAAGGAAGTAATAGTTTTTTTAAATGGTAATGCCTGCGTTTGGTAACGATTGCGAAATCTTCTATCTCAGCAGCCCTGGTGCTAATTTGTAAACACAGCCAGACATTATATTGCCTGTCAGTTTCTGCATTAGAAAACATGATTTCATTTTACTTTCTAATCACGTTTTGACTGTAGCACACACGTATACCCATCCATCTGTAAAAAAAAAAAAAAAAAAAGGAAAAAAGAAGCCCACACTAACAAATGTGCTGCTGGACACAGCAGGGAAACCTCAAAGGCTCCCCCCCCCCTTTTAGTTTTCATATCCAATTTGATATTTGATACTCAATTATTTAGACAGTAGTCCTTAAAATTTTTTTGTTTCTCTGTAAGTGAAGGTGCATATACATGTTTTTGCTCTTTATCATATCACCTAAAACGTTTCCAGTACACCCAGGCCACTCCCGCCTCTGTCATTTCTATTGTGTTTCTCTGGCTTTTGCTGCCTGAACAGTGGAATCGCTGAAGTCCGAAGCCGCTGAGGCGCCAAACTAAAGCTAGGTGTATTTTGAAAGGTTGTTTGCAGGCTGTGAGAAAGATTAGGTGTTCCCAAACTCGATTTAATTTCCAAAGAAAGTTTTGTTCCCCACTCCCACCTCCTTCAAATGTGGATTATTTGCTGGGGGTCCAGAAATTGGCCGTGGGTGTACAGTGAAACCTCTTGAGCTGCAAAGCCCCAAATTCCAATAAGCCAAGATGAGATGTTTATATATAAATGTCACCAGATGGGAGGGGGGATTTCGATTCTACACCTTCCCCTCCCCCTATCTTGCGAGAAATATTCATTTCCTTTTGTTTTGATTATACACTTACATCCATGTGTATCCTTTTGTTGCAGCATGTAGAAGACCCGGGTATTAACATCCCAGATCAAACTGTAATTAAGAAAGGTAAGCCATTTCCTTCTGCATTCCAAGCATGTCCTTACAGGCATAGTGCTATTTAAAAGAACTTGCAGAGGTGTATTTATTTTTTTCAAGTAGGATTTCCTAAAGGCTCAGAATTAGCGAATAGATAGGCATAGAACAGCAATGCTTAAATGATTTAGTAATGGCAACAGGCTAGCTTTGTTCTGATTCATGACTTGATCATTTAACTTAGTTAAATGATATCGGGACAAACACATGAAATGTGTAATAGTTGAGCAGATTTGGAAGCGGCATTTCAATTTTGAAACAGTTTTAACAGTTTAGTTAATCCACTGCCTGAGTGGCCATGAGTGTTAGGGATTGTATAATGCTAAAAACAGTGCAAGTAATTCAGAATTAATATGGGGGCAGATGATAAAGACAGCACTCCTTAGCAGAGGGGGAAAAAAAAACTTTCAAGTTCTTATATTGAATCTCTCATTAGGTGTTGAAGAGTTTTTTAAGCTTTGTGAATTAGGTTAGCAAAAATTTAGCTTTTGGTTAAAATGAGCCTCTTGAAGATGTCAAGTTTATTAGCATAATTGTTCTGAGCAGAAATTGTTTTTTAAAAGTGTCAAGTGATTTGGATGAATTTGTAATTTATGTTGCGTTTAGTGAGTAAAATAAAGTTTACTGGATTAAATGCTATTCACAGCAGCTTTTTTTTTTTTCTTGGTTATAGTGGCAACGTTACATTTCAGGATTCTAGGCACCACCAGAGGATGATGCTATATAAAACTGTTCTCATTTCTAACCCCAATCAGCATATTGTTAGCGAGTTTAAAGTTTCATTTTTGCATCTGTGAAGTCTTTGTCACGTCAAATTAGATGTGCAAGGGATAAATCTTAAGAGATGCTCTTTCCAAGTCGACATGATAATTGGCTCTTTTATTAGTAATCTCTCAAGAGTTCGTTTAACTCCTATTGTCTCTATTAGCCTCCCCAGAGCTATTAATGTCACAAGTGATCTATCCAAAACCTAGAGCCCCCCCCAATACATCTAAAATATCCCCATTAAAGAGAGAGGACTGAGATAAGCATGTATTATGTAGTATGTCTCCATGTGGAATTTTAATACAAATGCATACTGTATTTAAATGGTTGTGAATGCACTTGAATTATATTGGTGTTAGAAATGTAACGTGTTGGTCCACTTCCTGCTGGCCTTGAATCCCCCCCCCCCCCAAGTATGGGGGAATCCAACAATGAAGAGCTTGTGATTTTAACTAATAAGAATATATCCTCCCCCCTCCCCCAAAGAAGGGGCTTAAGCGTAGGGACTGTTAACTCTTTGCTCCTCGAAAGAACACATTACTAGTATTCCATGGAAGGCCTGTTTATCCTTCTTTTTTTCCCTCAATTCAAAACTGGGCTTGGCATGGATTTCCAAAACTCCTTTTCACAGATAAACGTAAGGGGTGGGGGGAGGACTATTTATCAAAAGGCTGGGGCGTGTGCGCTGTGTGACAACTTGAATCCACCACTTCTCTCGGCTTGGGTGCCATGACTGCGATGCTCATTTTTACAGGCTGCTTTAGCCGTGGAGACTCTTGGCTGATTTTAATTATGGGTGTTTGAGCAGTTTCTCCCCAACACTGAAGAAGCCCTCGCCCCACCCCATCCCCACCCCGAGTCCACACGGGGCTTTTTTTCTCGGCTCTGGGGCCCAGCGTCCTCCGATGCTGAGAGAGCCGAGAGGATCACCGCCTCACCAGCACCTCTAGACAGTACCCCAGAGGTTACAGGGCGAGGGGGTCCCGGCGGAAGGACAGGGCGGGCTGGCGGGGCGGGTCGCGTCGCCGGGGGGACGCGCCAAGGGACTTAGGCTTCCACTCCCGACAGGAATGGAGCCGGAGGGCCTAGGGCAGGTGGGGAAGGAGCCGTGGGATTTTCGGGGCTGGAGGAGAAGCGGGTGGGGGGACGCCCCACTGCCCCTCCCCGCGCGCACGCGCAGCTCATTCTGCGGCGGACTCAGTCCCGACACCGGCAGCCGCGGGGCGCCGTGCACTCGCCTGTTCCCTCCTCGCTCCCGCGTTGCAGGCCTAGGAAAACTTCATCTCGGGCGGCTCACTTTGCCTTGCCTCCATGCAGGGTCTCTGATTACAGAGGGCTTGAGGCCTTTGAATAGGGTTTTAAGCGGAAGACGATGCTTTTAGAGTAAGCGCGCCACGCCCCCGCGTCCCTGTCACCCCAGGCCCCACGGGCCAGAGGGGCTTGCGCTAATAATTCGGCGGCGCTGCGTCCGCACGTGCCAGCCAGCGTGCAAGACACGGTTACGTGCAAGGCATGGTTACGTGCGTTTTGTGCGGTCGCTACCTACGATTACATGTTGCCTACGTGGTCAGGAATTCTCATCTCACGCGCGCGAGGTTGGAATGATTCGTTTCCTTGATAAGATTTTATGAGGGTCAGCGAGGTGAAGCACCTTCCCTGAGGGCAGTTTGTTCCCTCCTGTGGGCTTTTTACTTCTCGGAGGTCCCACCCAGGGTTGTGTGTGGTGGGTCTTACCTTGAACGGTCCTAGATATTTTCTACTTTTTTCTAGTTTTTAATAAGAAAGTGGGCCCAAAACTTCATTCTTTGACTTGTATTTATATAGCTATTTATACACCCAGAGTTCTGCTGTGATGGGTATATCCTATACAAAGGCTTACAGAACCATTTTTTGGGCAGATTTTAGTATCAGCTGTTCCACTCTTTTTTTTTGCTCCTTCACAGTCATTTGCTGTTCCTCAGTAATCTTTCACTGACACATCTAAATCCGCCGCTGCCTTTTCCTACCCCTTCCCCCATCCCCAGTATTGGAGACTGTTTACCTAGGGGAGTATAATCTAATCCACACAATTAAAGAGCACTTGAGTAGGGAATAAAATCTGAAATTAATTAATTTGCTGTTTTATTTAAACAACTTATCTTAACCACTTTCTGATTATGGGAGTCTATTTAGACATCTATTTAGAACCACCTCCACTGTTTCTGAATTCAGTGACATTTGTAAAGGCTGATATCAACTTTTGACATTTCCAGTTAGGCTGGTGACATGGCATGTAAACAGTTGGTGAAATGAATTTCCCACTGGGGCTGAAGCCAGAGCAAGAAACCTGAGAGTGATGATAACTTTGGTTACTCTGAACAGGCTCGCAGCAGATCTTGCAAAGACAATTTAAAGACCCCACTGGGATTTGTGTGATTGTAACAACAGGGAAAATATACAGTAATCAGTTGAACTCAAAAATCTTTCACACCCTAGAGATGAGAACTGTGTTTATTTGTTTGTGGTTCTTCTTTAGAGTGTTGGGAAATCAAAACCTTCCAGCCTGCCACCATAGTTGTAGTAATAAGTGAACACAGGGGGCGCTTTACAGTCTAGCAAGCGTTCATCTCCTATGAGCTTTCCTTCCCAGGTTTCCTTTCGTTATGTATCTTGGGGCCAGGATCCTTAATTTTTAAAAGCACATTTTAGGAAGTTGTCAAAATGAGTACAGTGGGATGCAGAGCAACTGGATGTTTTCTAAATCCATTTCTCACATATATTTGTGAAACAGGGCGAAGTCTAAAAATGGAGGAAGATCTTTAAGAGAAAAACTGGACAAAATAGGATTAAATCTGCCAGCAGGGAGGCGTAAAGCTGCCAATGTCACCCTGCTCACATCACTAGTAGAGGGTAAGCGAGTTCCCTTGCTAACAAGAAGGGAAGTTTCTCCTGGGAAAGTGGATGCTATTCAGGGGCCAGATGTTTGGTTATATTTTGTGTCAATTGTGCAATTTCATTTTTTTCCAGAGAACGTAGCTGCAAGTGAACGGAATTCTTGCCTGTGAAAAAACTATTTGCATTTAGTCCTGTCCTCCTTTCCTCTTCCCCTCTGCTACAAAATTACACCCCCCTCCTGCCCAGGTTTGACCTAAACAATGTGAAAATTTAAGAACTGCATACTCTTCAAGTTCCTGTCTCCTTTATGGAGCTCAGCAGTAAATCACTTAAGCTACTCTGACATCTGCGTTTGAGAAATGCGTGACCATTACTTCCTGAATTAATTTGGGAATCTTTGACCTGAATCCTGATTTAAGACCATCCTGAAAGCTCAGGGTTATATGCCCTTTCAGGTTTTTGTTTTCCAAACATATGCTCCCTTATCTCTCATTTAATTGTGCTTCTCTACTGGAGAGGAAGAAAAATGAACAGTTTTAGACTTTGAGTTATTTGGATAGGAAAAGAAAAAAGAAATAAGCATTGCAAAAAGTTTCTCATGCCATTTTTTTTAAGCGCGCGCGCGCGCACACACACACACACACACACACGCTTCTAACCCCTCAAAACAAAAGCTCACCCTGTCCTCACTCCCTTTCAATATACAGCACAGTCCAGTTACCGTAGTCACATTCCTACTTCCTCTAGATCCTTGTTAAGTTTGTCTGATACTGAATTGGGTAAAGTTTGGGTGTGTTGGAATGAATGTATAGTTCTCTTGCATTTTCCTTTGTGTCCTGTTGGAAATGTCTCATGCCAATAGGAAAAAAAGGAACTTAAGTTATGGGGCAGATTTCAAAACCACCATTTATATTTAAAGATGGTACTTTATCTTACTTATATCTTGTATTTGAAGAGATATTGTATAACTGAATTCAGGTTCTTGCATTGTAAATAATTTTTAAAATATTTAAAAACACAAATTTGAGGAGAAATCCTGTGAACCATTTGTTAATGGTGTCAAAAATGATAACTTGTTAAGGAATAAGCAATTGTTCAGTTCCAGAAACTTATCTACAGTAGCAATGTATTAAAAATAATACCGGTGCCCTGGGAACCCACCATTCAGACCCCCAAAGCATTATACGCAAAGAAAATAGTTAGTAGTGATGTTGGGTGTAGTGGGAGAGTGTGCATGGGTCTGGGGGTTGAGTCCCATCGCAGGGAGGCAGTTTCTGGAAAACTGTTATTGTTTGTGATCCGCTCCATTTTATGGAAACAAGCTCCGCGGAGAGGGCTTTGATGCTCTAATTGGCGCATGCGTTCTTCCGGAGCTGGAGCTAATGGCAGGAAGCCCTGCAGTAAAAACCAACTGGTTCAGGAAATTAAAACCAAAGATTCGAAAATCAACAACACAGACAGACTCAGTGGAGTGACCCTCAAATCCTCTTGGTTAATCGGTTTGGATGAACAGATAATTATATGCGATAAAGTTAAAATGTAAACCCGTAGTCGTTCCTTTGCAGAAAAGCTCATGGAGTAATTATGAATATCATTTTATGAACGCGTTGATAGGTGTGAGGCTAGAACACAAGAAAGGTTTTAAAAGAGAAGGTGGGAGAATGTCATCAGGGTGGGGGATGAGGCTGGGTGGGGAGGTGATGGAATCTACATTTTCAAATCATCTTGGCCTTCTAGGGTAAGTGGCCATTTTTGAGCAGAAATGCATCTGCTCGATCCTACAGAGAAGGAAAGAAAATGCCTGAAGTGGGGAAACAAGTCGTTTGTGTTTCCTGCAACAGCTGGGTTAAGAAAATAAGGGAGCTGGAAGTCTCGATCCCAGCTTTTTTCATTCTCTTGCCCTCTCCTTCCTCCTCTTGCCAGGAGAAGCTGTCCACCTAGCCAGGGACTTTGGGTATGTGTGTGAAACCGAATTTCCTGCCAAAGCAGTAGCTGAATTTCTCAACCGACAACATTCCGATCCCAATGAGCAAGTGACAAGAAAAAACATGCTTCTGGCTACAAAGTAAGACATTTACCTCTTCAGGGTCTCTGTGTCTCACTGTCAAAGAGAAACATCAAAATCATCTTTCCTCTCACTTTTGGCCTCTTTACCTTTTGTGTTAATCAGTTTTGTTGCTGTAAATGCTGAAATTACAACACAATCTTATAAACCATGATGGAGCTTAGAGAGGAAATACAAGGAAGATTATGAGTGTGTGTTTCCCTCTTTCCCCTCCCTTCTGCCCTACCTTCTCATTAACAAAAAAAAAAAAAAAAAAAGGAAAAAAGAAGCCCACACTAACAAATGTGCTGCTGGACACAGCAGGGAAACCTCAAAGGCTCCCCCCCCCCTTTTAGTTTTCATATCCAATTTGATATTTGATACTCAATTATTTAGACAGTAGTCCTTAAAATTTTTTTGTTTCTCTGTAAGTGAAGGTGCATATACATGTTTTTGCTCTTTATCATATCACCTAAAACGTTTCCAGTACACCCAGGCCACTCCCGCCTCTGTCATTTCTATTGTGTTTCTCTGGCTTTTGCTGCCTGAACAGTGGAATCGCTGAAGTCCGAAGCCGCTGAGGCGCCAAACTAAAGCTAGGTGTANCACAAGTTCTAGCCTACAGGCGAGATGTCAAATCGGTTTCAAAATGGCCCAAGTTATATTCCCATCAGTGCCTGGGCTGAATAGGCTTCTCCAGGTGGTGTGTGAAAAGAAAATGACTGTTTTGATATGTTTTCTGGAAATTAAAAGGCTTGTTTGGAAGCCCATAATTATCAAAGTCAGTGTCCCAGGAGGGCTCGGATCCAGAGGGCAGAGGCTGAGGCCTCTGGTGGGGCACTTTCTGGCCTGGGGAGATGTCAGCTGGCCTTGGGGGAGGCAGCCTGCCACGACTCTCCATTCTGCCTCCCCCCGTGAAGCCCCCTACTCAAAGCCCCCACCCAAAGGCTGCTGCTACCTTGGGAAGGCCCCAGCCAGTCCTGGCTTCCCAGATTCAGAGAGTGAGCTACCCCTGTAGGCCTCATCGCGGGCATTTCAACTTTTCCCTCTTCTCTTAGCTTCCTAGGCACACCCACACTCACAGTTTTCCCTAGACTTTTTTTTTTTTTTTTTGGTTAAAGGACTGAGGNCTTTTCCCTCTTCTCTTAGCTTCCTAGGCACACCCACACTCACAGTTTTCCCTAGACTTTTTTTTTTTTTTTTTTTGCCGGGCGGCAGGGTGGGGCGGGGCAGGGAATGCATGGGAAAGGAGGTGGCAAGGGAGATTGAAATATCTGTTTCTGCTTCTCCAAACCACTGAATTATCCCCACACTTGGGTATTGAAGTGCCTTTTATTTTTTAAAAGTAAAACAATCCCAAGGAAAGGTTTTGCCTTCCTTGTCCACACCCACCCTGATCTGAAGGTGAATGAATGGAGAGTTCATGCCCCCAGACCTCAGACTGCTGAGGTTGCGCTGGAAGGTCAGGGAAGAGGGTCTCTGTAGTATTTTGAGCCGGATAGCTGATGGGTGCGGGCTATTGGCTGTGGAAGAGATGCTTGTGTTTCTGACTCCCTGCCCTTCCTACCACCTTCCTTTTTCTCTCAATGGGTGAAGTGTTTTCCTATGTCAGGGATGCCTGGTGTGAGTGAGAAACGGGGGTTAGAAAAATTTGGTTCAGGACTTCCCTGGCAGTCCAGTGGTTAAGACTGTGCTTCCACTGCCAGGGGCACCAGGTTCGATCCCTAGTGCAGGCACTAAGAGTCCACATGCCACAGGGCACCGCAGGAAAAAAAAAAAAAAACTTGGTGCAGCTGAGAGGTGAGAGACACACAGGTGGAAGGAGAGAGGGGGACGTTAGTGGAAGTGTTGAAGGAGCAGGGGATGTGTGGATGGATCCTGGGAGGTGGCTGGGGCTCTGCACCCCTGAGTCAGGTCAGCTGTCCTGCAGACGGAGCTGGCGGCAGGGAGGAAGGTCTTGTCTTCGCTCCTGGTGCTGCTCCCACGGAGCCTCACCCCCGGTCTCTCTGTCCTGCTTGTGCTGCAGACAGATCTGCAAGGAGTTCACCGACCTGCTGGCCCAGGACCGATCGCCCCTGGGGAACTCGCGGCCCAACCCCATCCTGGAGCCGGGCATCCAGAGCTGTTTGACCCACTTCAACCTCATCTCCCACGGCTTCGGCAGCCCGGCGGTGTGCGCCGCGGTCACGGCCCTGCAGAACTATCTCACCGAGGCCCTCAAGGCCATGGACAAAATGTACCTCAGCAACAACCCCAACAGCCACACGGACAACAGCGCCAAAAGCAGTGACAAAGAGGAGAAACACAGAAAGTGAGGCTCTCCTCCCTCCCCGCCCGCCCCGCCGCGCGCGCCCGCCGCCCGTCCGCCTGCGCCTGCACCTCCATCCCCCACCGCCCACCGCCGGCAGGTGACAGCGCTGGGGACCAGCGACGCTCCACTGCTGCTACTGCTGCCGCCGCCGCCTTCGGTCCGGAGGCCCGGGGGCCCGGGGCTCTGCCCCCCGGCGAGAGGGCCGACCCCTCAGGCCCCGGCCCCGACCGCCCATCAGCATCACCTCCCCGTTGCCCCCCGCGTGGAGCCTAAGAGAATCCAACAGGCCGTGAAGCCAGCAAAGAAAAGTTCTGTCCGAGTTTGTGAACCTTTTTTTTTTTTTTAACCCAACAAATCAACCACAAAGACAACAAAAAAATTAAAAACTTTTTTTTTTTTTAGAAAAAAAGAACGTAAAAATTAAAAAAAAATTCTATGAGTTTCACGGGATGGAATCACCACCTTCCTTACATATTTCAGTTCAGATTGTAGCCATACTAAAAAAAAAAAAGGCAAAAAGGATCATGACATTTTTATCAGTATTGTGAATAAACTTGAACACAGATACTCGAAGTTCCATGTCTTGTCTTCAGTTGTAAAAGTTTTCCCTCTTCAAGGTAAAGCGACTAACTTGAACTTTCTCTGGCAACACGATTCACAATTCTATAAGGGAATCAGTGTTCACGTCTCTGTATATATTTATTTATGTGTAATTTAATGGGAATTGTAAATATGGTGAGTCTGTTTTAAGCCTTTTTTTTTTTTTATTTATCTGGTGATCTCGTTTACCTCTTGTTTAGTGGGTTTTGAATCTTCCCTATTAGTTCTTCATGTGGTTCATGGTACTTATTTAGGAATTCAAGGTTTGGGGGATTTTCTTTTTTCCTCTGGGATTCATGAATTTAGCCCTGTTGTAGCATGTTAAAGACGACAATGAAACAGCTGAACAAATTTTAAGAAGTAAAATAAAATTTTATAAATAATTATAGTATTACATTTAGCTTTTCATTGAACTGAAAGGAAAAAAAAAAGTGATATTGGACCCTGGAAAGATTTAACTTGAGTGGTTTGATAACCCTTCTATGTTTTTGTGGGGGAGAAAAGCAAAAAAGTTTATTTTATTCCACTGTCCTCCCTTAAAAGCATCATTCGAGCAATAAATGAGTATTGTCTTTAAACCAAGGGTTAGGGATGTTTTCCTCTCTCTCTCTTTCTCTCTCTTTTTGTTCAAAGAACTTCAAACATTTGGGACCGCCTGGGTATTCTGTATTTTCACTGGCCATTTTGGAAGCAGTTATAGCTGCATTGTATTGAGTTGTGCTGGCAGTAGTTTTCATGCCTGTCAATGTATCATAGTCCTTTGTTGCCCAGATAAATAAATATTTGATACGCTTTATGTCGATCTTTTTTATCCAGTGGCTGTCTTTGCCCAGGCGTATTTTTGTTCTCGCAAGAATTTTTATTCAGTATGGTTACAGTAATTGAGTTTAACGCTCCCCTGGCAATTGCTCCTTGTAATAAGCAGCTGAACCCATTGTTTCCCTTAAGTATAATAAAAACTTACTTTCAACTTGGAGTTCAGAGCAGGGTATCATTTAGATATTCCATCGAGTCTGTATTCAGACAAATGACACAATAAAACCCAATGTATTCTTTTGGATAAAAGATTGTGTGTACTGCTCAAGGAATGACATACTATCTTTTCCTTACTAGAAACATTAATTTGATTATTAAAAATAAAGTTATATTTTATTTATGTTGACCCTTTAGGTTTTCATTTGTGTTTTGAAAACCAGAATATAAAATCTTCAGAGCCAAACCCTAAAGGATGGCAAGGAAGATGGAGAACAGGCCAGAGGAACCTCCCCCTTGCCCCTCATAACTACTTGGGAATCTGTCTCAGAGGATAACTGAAATTTAAATTCTTGGTTCATTAGCACAAAGGAAATACCCACTTCAAAATTCACTTAACTTGCCCTGGCTTCTCAGTGGCTAAGACATGCAAATGAGCTAAAACCGGCTCTAGTTTTCTGGGAAGAGTGGCAGAAATGTACGTAAAGCAGAGACACAGAGGGCAAATTGCCTCCCATTTATTTTAATATTTCATTTAGAGATGAATTCATTACTGGGCTGTTCTTAGTAGCTCTTGAGGCAGCAGAGGGGACTGGGAAGGACTGTGGATTCCCAGAATCTTTTCCTCCAGCCCCTAAATGCCCACCCACCCCTTTCAGTCACCACGCAGGCTCCTCCTAGGACCTTTAAGAAATACAAAACGTTCCCTGGGGTGGAGGGAATGAGGGGGTGGGCTGGGGGTCCTGCCCCAGCAGACCTGACTTAGCACTTAGCTCTTACCGAAAGGACTTCCTGTATGTGAAAAATGGCGAATTCCGAGCCTGTGTAAACTGCCTTGGAGAGTCTTTGCTTTGGAAGTAAGGAGGATTTTTTAAATGTTTTTTTAAAGAAGAAAGTGGAGGTGGTTAGCTGGAAGATTCACAGGAGAGGTCATAGGAAAAGTGTCTAGGTATACATACTGGAAGGGATTCAACATTTGTTCTTCCGGTTTGACATTCTGAAGGACTAAAGAAGAAAGCATTAGACAGTGTCCATTTTGCAGCCTTTGGCTTTCTAATCTCCTTATGGAAGGCAGGGGAAAATCAATCTCGACAGACGAACGAGAGTTGCTGGAGTCTAAATTCTATTTTCCAAAGCCGGAGAATTCATAACAATGGTGGGTTTGAAAAAAAAATTCAGATGGAAAGTGTATCCTCAGCTCGCAATGCAGCAATTGTTTTTTAAAGCGGTTATTTATTATTTCCTAGAGAGACTGGTTAACTGTAACGTAGATGTAACAAAATAATGAGGCGAATGAACCCTAACTGTACATACTCTTGACAGAAATGAAATGCACACAGCATCGTAGCAGGTGAAGTGAAGCAGTGTCTATCAAGGCTGTTTTTCTTGGCTGCATCTCAGATTGTGTGGGGGATCCTAACCTCAGGCACAATAGCATTCATAAACAGCCATACATTGCTACTCTTTCTCCAATGACACATAAATACTCATTTTAAAACGAAAACAATCTTATTAAATACCATTCATTCATATCTGGATTTACAGATGCTTGTTATGTTGGAAAACCTGAACCCAATATAATCCTTGCATCCTGAGAAAGATAGAAGGAAATAGTGGGTTAGAGCATGACAAGGTCATGATAAACAATGGTTTCCAAATGCACAGAATTAGTTGTTTTTATTCTGTAGTTGGACATTTGGAGGAACATGATATTGTCACTTTTCTTTTTTTAAACAACACATTTAAAGAAGCTATGCATACTTTTAAAGGGTGGGGGATCTGAAGGGTTATTATTAAAAATGACTTTTATGACTATATGGATTTGGGCTTTCTCTGTTGTGACCAATGCACATTTTCTAAAACACATGGTGATTACTTGACAGGTCAGGTGCCTATATACTAACAACAGTGATTCTCTTTGGATTAACTCAAGTTAGGATACACCATTGAATGATAAAGATGCTTGCTAGGTTGTGCTAATTACCAAGACCAATTTTTATGGCAACACAACGCTCCTTCCAGTTTGGTAGTTATCATTACCCCTTCTATTCTCCAATACTCTTTAAAAATCACAATCCAATCCACTCCTCCCCAAAATCGAATATTAATATAATTTGAGTTCTTGATGGAACTACCATCAGAACTGCAATGCCCCGCAGCTGAAATAATATTTAAAATAGAAGGGATTTGACATTTGAGAAGTCAGTGGCTTGAAATACCCAGTTGTACTTAGCTAATTCAGTCCTTAACCTCTGGTTTCAAATAAATCAATTACAGTCGATTCCACTTCAGTTCAGAAGTGCACAGGGTTTTAGTTAATTGAATACATTTTATTCACTTGCTAGGAATATTCATTTATCAAAATTTCAAATTTAACATACATTTCTTTACAACTCAGGTTGTGTTGGCTTGCACAATCAGATCAAATTTGCCCTGGTTTCCCCAAATCCTGCTTAAAATCTAAATTTCACCACTCTTTACAAAACAATGTCTCCCCCTTCCTTTCTCAATCAAAAGTAAACGCATCATAATTCCAGGTCAGGTAGGAGAGTTGCTTTCCTCTTCACAAAGAAAAAAATCTCATCTGTGGTCATCAGCCTTGTGTTAAGTTTAAATAGGTTAAGAACAAACTGGATTAATTAAGTTTTTAAAAAAGTATTGACCTGAAATTAAAAAAAAAAATTACGCATGGTTTCCATTAGAGTTCAACTTTGCTGCAGCTGACAGGTATGACAGCATTTTGTGGTCTTAAAGCCGCAGGCCCCTTTTCTTAACCCTCTCCCTTCCTCTGCATCCCCCCTCCGGCTTTTGGAGAAGTGCTTGAATAAATAGCAAATTGTTAACTGAAAGCAGTGCAGTTAAATGTGCCCAAATGAAGTTGTGCTTTAAACAGATATTGATGTATGCAGTGTTTTATATTTATTGTTTGTAGCATCCTGCTGGCAGCAGTTTACTGTTTGGAAAGGAAAGGGGTTAATTAGCGTCATTATCAATCACTAATGCTTGCCTAACGTGTCCAAAGAATAATCAAGTTAGAGGACGGCATGGAGCCAACAGCTGCTTCATCCCAGTTACAGATCCCCTCCTAAGCCACTCACTTGTGGGGTCGGGGGGAGGTGAAGTGAGGGGAAGAATCCTCATGGCTTTGGTAAAAGGGCTATAAAAATCGGGTCAACTCACTAGAGATCCAAGAGGCAGAAAGGACAACATAAATAACCAGCGTTTTCATTCTCTGAGTTACAGGTGCAGAGATGGGAGCATCCTGAGGCAAGAGCACAGATATTTGTCCTTTCATGTGTTTGATTATCCAAGTTGGGCATTTGAAGAAAAGCATCCATGCTTCCCTATCGCTTCTTAGTGCTGTGTGGTAAAAAGAAATCTAAAATGCAGGTAGAGAAGAAATAACCCACACACGCCACGGACACACCTGCCATCTCCTAGCATCACCCAACCGTCCATGTCAGAGGATGAAACCACAGAGCACCAGGTACCACTAGTTCTCACACCCCGGCGTCACTTCTTATGATGCTTAGGAATATTTCTCCTTGTCCATTTCAATGAACAATTCTTTTTTATATTAAACGTGGTTGCTGTGCAGGTATGCCATCTTAGCTTTCCACTGTTTTTATTACGATGATACTGCCCTCTTTGTGACACACCGTGGGAGAGAAACTGAGTCTGACCCTGAAATGAGTTTCTCTTGGAAGCTTGTCTTTAGAAACATTATTTGTTGAGTTAACCAGGAGTTAAGAGCTCAAGGCTCCGTTAATGATCAGAGTTGACTCAACTGTTTTTCCGAAGGCAGGAATGAAGTAGTCTGAAGTGGATTATTTACAAACAGAGAGCAATTTGTGTGATTGAAGAGAACTATGATTCCTTTCTACAAAAGCAGTGCCCAAACTCATCCTGGCCCCTATGAACATAGATGAGAAACATTCGCAATCAAATTGGGAACATTAAGTCCTTCCCCAAAGAAGTAATTGGTATTTTCCATGGAACTATAGTATCAGAGTATGTCCCATGGTGACCATCAGAGTGAGGAGGGAAAAGGACATTGGAATGGAAAATTGTGTAGTTCATGCATATGGGGAGGTCTTGAACTTAAAAAAAAAATTCTATTCCTTAGGACCATGACTGAGAAAGGGAAAGGAGGGAATAAAAGAGATCTGAGGCTAAACCTTGGTGCCCTATAACTAAGCTTTAAATGTTATTCATGTGTAAAACTACTTTTTTTCCCTCTTTGATGCCTGAAAGGATGATGTCAAACCATCTTTGCTTTCACAGAGAGTTTTATTTTTTTAACAAAAGGGCAGCACTGAGCATAGTTGCTGGAAAAATCTATGTTAGAGAAGAAGGAAACTCAGGGTAGAGGGCCTTTCTACAGTAGATACTTATGGATACATACATTTCTCTCTTTCTCTCCCTCTCTCCATCCTTTCCTTCCTTCCTAAGTTCCTCTCTCCCCGCACTCCTTCCTTCTTTTTCTAACTACACAAAAAACTTAATGTCTTTGGGGGTGCTTGGTAGACTTAGATTTTCCACACCAACATCCATTTAGAAGTGGGAATATTTTCAACTGCAGGTCAGGGATTTTTCTGAGTGGCCCAATTCCAGGCTATGCTTTTTTTTTGGTGCGTGATTTTTCTATGGAAACAAAGATTCTGTCTGTTAAATTTCAGTAACAATCTGAAACACAGGCCCTCAAACTGAAGGTGGAGTCTTATGGTCCAGCCTCTGCCCATCACAACTCCCTCTGTTGGGCATCCATCACCACTCTTAACTTTTGCAAGTGGAAAGACCCCTGGCCCTGGATTTCCTTTGGACCCACGT